AAATACAGATGATTGTTAGCAGAGAGGTCTGACTGCACAGAGGCCATAATAAATCAGTCGCTTGCAGACTCATATCAAAACCCTATCAGTGGGTGGCAAGTGACGACGAGCTCAGGGCTCCCACTGATTCTGCATTACGGTGAGTTGTATAATTATTTCATTACATATTACAATGTAATAATAATAGAAATAAAGTGCACGATAAATGTAATGCGCTTGAATCATCCCAAAACCATCCCCCCTGCCCCGGTCCGTGGAAAAATTGTCTTCCACGAAACCAGTCCCTGGTGCCAAAAGGTTAGGGACCGCTGTTCTAGAGGAAGAACTGGCAAGCCCAGTCTGAGGCACTGAGGACAGTAATCATCATGCCTTCCCACTGACCGTGGTTCTAGACACAGGCCCCACTTTCCTCTGAGTCTGTCAAGGGAACAGAGGAGCTGTAGGGAGGGAGGTGGAAAGGCACATGGCAGCCAGATCTTCTGAGCTGTGCCGATGGCAAATAGCCCATGTGTCGGAGTTGTGTGAGGGCCCTGCTGCCTCCTAAGCAGCTGGATTGTGAGACGTTTGCAAAGATGTGAACCCCCCCATAAGGAGTATGCCGTTTAATAATTATGCAAATTAGCTGGCAATTAGATAATGTCACTCCCTTTCCCTCTCCTGCTGGATTCTCACACAGTGGACAAGCATTTTGAGCTTCTGCACCAGTCTGGGCCCTCCATGTGGGCACTGGAGCAAACCACCTGCACGTGCGGCTGCCTGCATCCTCCTGTGGCTCAGGAGAGGGTAGCAGTTGGCCTACCCTGTAGAGAGCACTCCCTGGCTCCCATTTTCCCATTTCTTGAGCCTCGCACAGCCCTGCCAGAGGCTTAGAGAAGGCCAAAGGGTAAATGCCTGGGGCAGCTGGCTCGAGGCCTGTGATATTAAATGTAAGGTCATCTCTAGCTCTTGGCTGGGCCACTGTGGCAATTTTCTAGAGGCTACGGGAATGTCCACAGTCCAAGAAAGAAATGGAAGGGCTTTAGGAGAGAATGTGGGCAGACCATAGGGTGTCAAGTCTAGATTAACCCACTTCTGATGTTACCAGTCCTGAAATCAGATTCCACCTGGCGCCTGTGGGAGAGAAAGCTTGTTTTTCCTCGGTTAGCCTTTTTGACTCCCCAAGATGCAGGCAGGGGAACGTCAGTATCTCCAGTGCTGGTCAGGGCTGGAGGGGAGGACTGCCAATCTGATGGAGGAGGCTCAGCAGGTGGGATAGAGTGGTCACCCCTAAGCAGGCTGGGTAAATTCCCATGATCCTCCTCACAGCAAGTGGTCCTGGGCAGCTTAGTTCTTAACTCGTGGGTTACCCCAGATCACTAGACATGTGCTGCTTTGTCCTGAGGGGTCATCTGAGGTGGGCATCCAGGGAAGTGTGGAGGCGCAGGATTGCCGTCATTGTACAAAGCGGGGTGGTGTGGAGGCCACCGCGTGGGACAGAAGTCAGATGATCCTCAGCCATGCTCTTCAGCTTCTATTTTTACTGTTCATTCTTCCTGTACATGTTTCCTGAGCTCCCACTCCAAGCCAAGGCCCTGTGGCAGCACCATGGTGAAGCAGTCCATGCCCCCAGGTTGCGTCCCATGGAGCTTCCAGTGCCTGGACTCTTTATTGCTCTGCTTTATGTCTCTAAAGTACACTTTCCCCCACTGCCTTGTGATGCCCCTGAAGGCGAGAACCATGTCTTACTCTGCTTAGATCCAGGAATGGCTGGAAAAGATCGGACCTCAATAAGTAGTTAGATCGAATTGAGCAAGTCATTTAATTTCTGCAGACACATAAGAGACTTGCAGGGGCCCAGAGGTGAGCTGACATCTAGACCAGTCTGAAAGCTTCTGGAGCTATCCACTTAGAGGGATTCCCATCTCCCTGCTCATCCATATCACTGAGCCCTCCATCTGAATGTCCTTGCCTCCCACTGAGGGTCCCACTGGCTTTAGCCATCTGAGCCTGGGCCTTGCTTGAGCTGCACTCCTTGGTCTAAACGGGCAGGACAGGGAGTGGAGAGGGAGGTGCAGCAGCCAGGGTGGCGTCACTGAGAAAACACTTGCCCAAGCCTCTGGGGCTCACACGCCGTGGGCTCCATCACATAGCACATGATTTTTACATTCCCAGCTCATTAATATTTACTGGCTTGGGAAACTCCTTTGGAGAGGCTTGTGCTTCGTGCTCATGCCTGCCTTGCTCCCCACTCTTCTAAATCAGATGCATGATAGGGGGAGGGGACAGGGCAGCTGCTGTCCTCTGAGCACATTCCCTGAAAGTGGCCCCGTTTCAAAAATTTGATGAAAAAAATATGTAGACATGGCAGATGTTAGGACCAGAAGAGCCCTCTTTGGGGACAAGCATCTCCTCTCTCCCCTGGGATGTTGCCTTTTGCCTTGGTTGGCATAACTCACCTCGTACAACGATCACGTTCTTAGAGACTAGGTCATCACTCATTCTCTAGCTGCCTGATACCCACCTCTGGCTTCATGTCTTCCACTCACTCCACTCCAATAGCACCAGCCTCCTTGCTGCTCTTCAGACATACCAGCCTGCTCCAGGCTTAAGGTCTTTGCACTGACTGTTACTTCTGGAACATTCTTCCCAGATATTTATGTGGCTAATTCTCTCACCCTCTTTGAAGACTTTCCTTAAATCTCATCTTCTCAGACTCTGATTTGTGATGTTTGCCTATTTGTGTGGTGTAAATATTCCTAGCATAGTTGATTTCATGCTACCAAAGTGTCATCAACCAGCTCAAAAATTTCTGAAATTTTAATAGTTGGTTCTCACATTCCGCATGAGTTGGCACCTCCACACTGCTGTGCCCGTGTTCTAGTAAGCATCCCTTGCACCCCTGGAGGTGCCCATGCCACACTTTGGGAAACACTGCATGGACAAGACCTTTTATACAACAGAGGCTTTCCTTATGATGGATTTAATCAGCCTCTTTTTGGTTGGGCTTGCTTATTCAGGGGAAATAGGAGTTTGCTCCTGCTTAAGGAACAGTGTTTTCCTCTTCAAAGCCGGGGTAATAACTAGCTTTGCTAATGTGGTCATCATAAAAATAGTGGACAGTGGTCTGACAGAGACCATGGTGAATTATCAAACATGCCTATTAATAGGCAGCAACTTGCATAGCTCTTGGAAATTGCACTCATTGCTCTCATGTGAACACAGAAGTCTCTACTCGGCTATGTGGCCAGAGTCTGCTTTCAGAAACCAGATCACCCCTTGACTGGGTGCTGGTGCATTTCCAATCAGTATAAAACACGCATAACGTGCTCTAGGTCTGTGACATTCCTCAACTGTTCATTTGTTGTTCATTCTGCAGTTTTTTTAATTAAAAAAATGTGTCTTAATATGCTATCCCCACTTCACAGACATGTGCACACTCACACGTACAGACACTTCTTCTCGTCCCTTCCTACCTAGAAATTAGGAAGGAAAGAAGGTAGTGTTTATTGTTCACCTACTATGTATGTAGCCTCATGCTAGAATCTTCCAATACATGATCTCATTGAATCTTCTCTCCAACCTTGGAAAAAGTCTTTTATTTTCTCTACTTTATAAATGAGAAAATAGAAACTCAGATAGATCAAGACATTTTCTCAAAGTTCCACATACAAGAACTAGGATTCACTCAGCCTTTTTCTTTTTTTTTTTTTTAAGGCTCAAAGCACATATTTTTTTCAATAAGACCTTTCCCCCAACATTTAGTTAAGAGATGAGTGTTTTTTGCTCATTACTCACCTTCTAATTTATTTTCACTGATTCCTATAAATATTTCTCTCAAAAATTTAAAGGTGAGGGTCTGTCTTAGGGTGCCTACACCAAACACTGGATTGTCAAACTGAAAAAGAAAAATCTAAAAAAAAAACCAATGTCATTTTCATGTTCATGTCTTTTAATAGGTAAACGAGTTAAAATTGTATGTGTGTATTTGAGTGTATAAAATGTTAGCACTTATCTTAAAAATAAATTTCATCTAAGTGACCCTGTGATATGAGTATTGTAAAGGTGCACTGATATGGCTTTGGGGGTTTTATACTATTTTTGCACATGGAAAAACTGAGTGCATCATTAGGAACTGAGCTTGGGGTCCTGATGTGGCTCTGGAAGAACCCGGGCCCTCCCTTCTGTTTGAAGCACCAAGCACTGTGGGAATCATTAGAATAGCCTGGCTTGCAGTCAGCACTCCATCAATATTTGTGAAATGGGATGCAGTCTTTTCCTGACACGTGGCCCTGATCTTTGTTTCCTTCTCCCCCACCCTCCCCTTCATCCTGCAGGTCTTTTCTCTGGAGTCCTGGGAGGCAGGTCATGGGCAGGACTGCCTCTGGCCTGCACCATGAAGTCTGAGCCTGCTTCCACTCTGCCCCGGGCCCTGCTCTGCCTGAGCACTCAGCCTCCAGCTGATCCCTTCCCCGCAGCCCCCTGCTGCTAGGAGGCAGACCTTCAGGACTGTTCCTTGGCCTGTTTCTACCTTTCACCTGACTCACCTCACTGCTCGCTCCTCCTCCATCACGGCCCCCCTGACCCCAGCCCTCTCCCCGGCCTCCCTGGCTGGGGTGTTTGGGGGTCCACCGGGAGGACGGCATTGTTGAAGGCTTCCACCCACCGTGCACTTTCTCCTCCTTGAATCAAGGCCTCCGGATCCACATGGATAGCTGAGATCTTTTCTTGGAGAAGGACACTTTGCACCCTCACTTTCTCAGCCTGACTGTCCTCCTCTACTGCTGCCCTGTCTTTCCCCTCTTTATTGAGTTTCTTGCTCGTGTGAGCATCTGCGGCTGTCTTGTTCACTTTCCTCCTTCCTCCGCCTCTTGATCTTTGTGCGTGTGCCTCCTTCCCCTTGTGTGTTCTCTATCCCCCACCCATCTCCTCTTCCTCCCTCCCTTCTACTGCAAAGGGGGATTTCCCCCCGAGGGCTGTTCCCTGCCTGTCTGCCCCTCCGGGGCTTGATCCCAGCAGCCACGATGAGCTTCACCATGCACTCGGTTTTCTTCACCCTGAAGGTGAGCGTCCTGCTGGGGTCCCTGCTGGGGCTCTGCCTGGGCCTTGAGTTCATGGGCCTTCCTAACCAGTGGGCACGCTACCTCCGCTGGGATGCCAGCACGCGCAGTGACCTGAGCTTCCAGTTCAAGACCAATGTTTCCACGGGGCTGCTCCTCTACCTGGATGACGGCGGCGTTTGTGACTTCCTCTGCCTCTCCCTGGTGGATGGCCACGTGCAGCTCCGCTTCAGCATGGACTGTGCCGAGACCGCCGTGCTGTCCAACAAACAGGTGAACGACAGCAGCTGGCACTTTCTCATGGTGAGCCGTGACCACCTGCGTACTGTGCTGGTGCTTGATGGTGAGGGCCAGTCTGGGGAGCTGCAGCCCCAGCGGCCCTACATGGATGTGGTCAGTGACTTGTTCCTCGGCGGAGTCCCCGCAGACATACGACCTTCTGCCCTGACCCTTGATGGAGTACAGGCCATGGCCGGCTTCAAGGGATCAATCCTGGATCTCAAGTATGGCAACTCAGAGCCTCAGCTTCTGGGGAGCCAGGGTGTCCAGTTGGATGCCGAGGGACCCTGTGGTGAGCGTCCCTGTGAAAATGGTGGGATCTGCTTTCTCCTGGATGGCCACCCCACCTGTGACTGTTCTACCACCGGGTATGGTGGCAAGCTCTGCTCAGAAGGTAAGGCCCTCTTCCCTATTCCTGTATCGCTAGAGGCCCACTTGGGTTGGGTAAGGACCAAGACCCCTGACGGAAACCAGCTCTATCATTGAAGTGCATCTTTAGCTGCATGTCAGATTATTGCGTCCCTTTCCCTGAGGAGGTGGTAGAAATCCTTTGCTTGCTCTCAGTGGAAAATCCATCAGAACTCAGCAGCAGAGAATCCTGACTACTCAACTCTGGGCTCCTTAGGCAAATATTTGGCTGTACTCAAAAAGCTAGATAGAGTAGACTACAGGATCTGTGTCCCAGCTGAGTTCCTTCCACCGCAGTGCAGCTTAGCAGGATGAGCCCAAGGTGAGAAGTCAGACAGAAATGGGCAAAGTGGTTATCTCTGTCCCTCCTGATCCCTTGAGAATTGGGCCCTTGGGGATAGATGGGAAACTCCCCATCACTTCTTCCTCATCGTCCCTAACATAAGGAATGCCTGTGCAGAGAAAAATGCGGGAGATGGACTGCAGGTCCACACTGGGCCCTGCTGTAAGTCCAGCCCTTCAGCTGTGCCCCTCCTCCTGCAATCTTATGGAAGGTGTCTACCAGGTGGACAGGGCATCTGGGGATGGGACTTCTCGCCTCTTTGTTCCAGCACTAGGATTTTCCACGTGTGCTTCCTCTTTCCTGTCCTCTCCTCTCCTGGTGCGAGAAGGCACAGACAGGAGCACTGTCCAGCCAAGCCCCCAGGGGAGCTGGCAATACCCAGCCTGGCCTTGGAGAACCTCCCAAGTTCAACTACAACTTCCCAGGGGGAGGGAAGGAGGGATTTATGCCCAGGGACTTAGGCTGCCCTCACCCTTTTCACCAAATTCTGACTATTTGGGATTAGGAGAAAAGGGGTCTAGACTTTACTTTGACAAATACTTAGATTCCAGATTCCTGGACTCACTGAAGGCCTAGATTTCAATACCTGTTAAAGTGACAAAGTGACCATATGGGTGTGTGTGTTGGGAGGTTGGGATGAGGAAGACGTGAGGAAGTTACATCGCCTCCTATCCTTTTAGAGTTAAGCCCTCTGTTTGTTTAGAGATGTTTGTGTCACCGTCCCGTGCTGGTCTCTTCATGGAGGTGGTGGAATGTGGCTCTCAGCCTTGGTAGCCCGTTAGGATCACCTGGGGGAATTAAAAGACTCTCAGGGGCTTCCCTGGTGGCGCAGTGGTTGAGAGTCCGCCTGCCGATGCAGGGGACACCAGGCATTACGCCAGGCCCTTAGCACGTGTAAGCCAATTTAATCCCAAGGATAATTCTCTGCTTTACAAAAAAGGCTCAGAGAGGTTCAGGAATTCACCAGAGTTTCTTCACTTACGTGTTCCTCCTCTGCGTCTAAAAAGAAGCATCCCAGAGTTGATAACACTGTGTTGCATAATTGAAATTTGCTGAGAGTAGAACTAAATGTTCTCACCAGGAAAAAAAAAAAAGTAAATATGTGAGGTGATGGATGTAAGTCCCTGGAGGGGATGGGGGAGGATCTTTCACGATGTATACTTATATCAAATCAGCACGTTGTACACTTTACGTACCTTACAGTTGTATTTGTCAATTATGCCTCAAAAAACTGGGAAAAAATTAAAAAATAAGATAAAATACAACGGGGACTTCCCTGGTCATCCAGTGGTTAAGAATCCACCAGACGCAGGTTCAATCCCTGGTCAGGGAACTAAGATCCCACATGCCATGGGGAAACTAAGCCCGTGCACCGCAACTATGGAGCCCGAGCACTCTAGAGCCCGTGAGTCACAACTAGAGAGCACTTGCACCGCAAGTACTGAGCCCGCGTGCTCTGGAGCCTGAGTGCCTCAACAAAGAGGTGTGCGCCGCAACGAAGGACCCCGCATGCCGCAACAAAATCCCACGTGCCGCAATTAAGACCCGACGCAGCCAAATAACTAAATATTAAAAGAAAAAAAAAAAAAAAAAAGAAAGACTCTCAGGCCACACCCCAGACCCATTCAATCAGAACCTCTAGGGGACAGGGTTCAAGCATTTGTATATTTTTAAAGTTCCCCAGGTGATTCCATTGTGCAGCTAAAGTTGCGAACCAACAGGTCAAGGGAAATCAGGTAGGTGCGGCCAGGTGAGTGTCTTAGTGCTGACTCCCATGATCTCTTCATTCAGGTGATGCCCCACTGCCTTGGGATTTGTAATTTAAAACAGTGTCTGCAGGTGTTCCTCAAACGTTCCGAGAACTGCCCAATCCCTAAAGCAGGTTGTGGTTGATATGAATTTTAACAACTAGTAGGTATTACAAATTTTTTTAAAAAATCAAAACAAGGTTTATTTCACAGGTGATACATGCTGGATACTAGGATACTTTGGGGATCTTGTTGGGAGCCTCCTTGTAGGTCAAGTATGGGCTCCCTCGAGTGCTTCTTTCCTTTTTTGGGCTGGACATCATCCCTCCCTTCCTGTGGGTGGGCTGCAGGAGAGGGGGATGCAAGACATGCATCTCATCCTTTTTTGGCTTCTGTTTTTCCCCATTGAACCCACTGGAAGAAGGGCTGGGGCAGAGGGGTAGAGGCAACACCAACCCACAAAGCCACTTTGCAACTGTGGTTACTGAAGCACTTATCACGAGCAGGTCCCTCCTGGAGCTGACTGCAGTTGCAAAGCTTCTTGGCTTTGGAGGAAGTTCTGCCTGAAGATGCTGACGTGATCCCTTGTTTTCTCCTTCACCCAAAGGATCTGTTCTGTTCTCAGAATTTGCCTTGGAAGCTGGCATTCTTCCTTTGTAGGGACCAGGGTGTTTGCAAGTGTGTTGTTAACTTGCTGATTATCCCTGATTGCATTTTTTGTGTTTAAAAAGAACTCATTTCCTCTGGGCAGGTTTGGATCAGCACTTTTCTGCAGGAAGAATCTCTATGCTGTATATGTATACAATTTCTTCTCTCTCTCTCTCTCTCTCTCTCTCTCTCTCTCTCTCTCTCTCTCTCTTTTCCCTTTGGTTCGGTTGTGTGTGTGTGTGTGTGTGTGTGTGTGTGTGTGTGTGTGTTTGAGGTCTCCAGAGGAATCTCTTCAGAGCAGATGATAGGCAGTCAATTTTTTAATAGCTAAATACAATATGTATATTTTAATAATAGTTCTTTCTATAGGGTTCAGATCATCTCGTGGCTATGGACTGACACCTCTTTCTGTAGAAGGCAAACACACAGCATATTTCATTATTCTCTTGATACATAATACAGTAAATAAACTCTGTAGTAACTAACACTTGGTTGGTTTGGAGCAGTGCAAAGTTTGAGGTGAGGATGGATGCTGGGGCAGGTACCAGAATTTATTGTTGGTGACTTGAAGCCTGTTGATCCTGGTAATTGTCATTATGTCTGATCAATCACAAAAATGCATGTCAGGCTTTTAGAAAATACCCGTTCTCTCCACACACAGTTAAGTTTTAGAGTAAGCAGGGGAAACTCACCTGTAAACTATGAAGGGGAAAAAAAATCCCAGCTGCTAAGGGTCAAGCAGATCTGCATAAAACAAGATAAATAGCCTAAATAAATGCCTCCCCATTTTCCTAAAGCTAGTGTAAAGTGGGTAGTGAGGATGCATCTATTCCCTCCTCTCTCCCCCATTTTAAATTGCAAATGTCACAGAACTGAAACCAGGGGACTTAGTCCCAGCAGTGGGTCCTGTGTACCAGGCGTCTGATCGCCCCACTTTGCAGGATGGGCCGTGCCATTTGATTGTGTGAGGGTTTCATGCTTTAGCAGTTCAAGAGCAGGAAGGGCTGGGAAGGCTCCTGCAGCTTCAGATGGATGTGGTCGGGGCCTGTTGGAGGCGCTCTCTGCAGTCCATTAGCTTCTAGCATGCTGGCAGTATTGATGTTTGCTCGGCCCGTCTGGCTTTCCATGCCTCAGTGGCTCCAAAATATCTCCACGCTGCACCCCAGGAAGAACGCACAGATGGGCCCATCTCTTCTATTTGCTTTGGGCTATTTTGATCCCTCGTTGGGTATCTTTTCTCGGTAAGACCCACAAGACACCGGAGATAGTTGCTGTGGGAGAGTTGGGTTTAGGGGGAAGAGCTATGGACACAGTATCTTCTGTTTCCTGGGGCGAAAGCCTATTAGCTCTGGCTGCAGACTGAACTCCACACAGCCTACTTGGGAAAACTTCATTCCAAGACTCCCAAACCGATTAATGGTCACATTGAACATTCTGGCACATGACGGAGGGAGAAGGGGGTCCCAGAGTTTTACTTCTAGGTGTGATGTTTATAAATAAAACGTTTGGGTTCTCAACTTCAGATTTGTTCAAGTTGACTTTTAATCTTTTTAAATGACTTTAAAATTATGCATATCTGGTTTGGAATATAGTCCAGCTGCGGTGGATCATATTCACCTGGCTTTTTCTGTTTAGTCCAGTCTGTCCTGTTTTGGGCATCCCTGAAGCTCCCTGGGCAATAAAGAGGTATCCCTAGTGCCCTCCAGAGAGCAGCCCCCTCATGGGTCATTGGGAGTTTGTCATTACCTTGAATGTTTATTTTCAAAACATCCTTAGTTATGAATGTGCAATTTCTCAACAATCTTACAGCCATGAAGAATTGATTCACTGCCGAGGTGTATACATTTCAGTACCAGTTTCTCTACAGAGTTCACTTAGCATGAAGTCAGCCTGTTGCAGGTGGGGTGGAGCCAAGGAAGGATGGGGAAGCTTTCCCAGGTTGATCTCTACTCTCACATCTTAATACACGGGTCTACCTATGTCACATATCATTTGTATGTCCATGTTTTTAGGTTAATTCAGTGAAGAGACATGAGGTCCTCTTCAGCTGGCAAAAAAAACAAGAAGTTGGTTCATTGTCTGCTATCTTTTCCTG